ACATTTTAGTCTGGATCATGAAAAGTACTAGGGATGGGGCATTTGAATCCTCAAATCCTAGTATCTCAAAAATACATCAAAGAATTCAAATCTGCAGGTTTTTCTTCTTTTGAATCCATCAAATCTTACGCTTTGAAAATTACATATTCTTTGTGGTCTACTCAATATTTCCAGTTTCACATTTTCTACTGCTTTCATGTACTAACCTAACATTCTACAACATATTTTTAAATTTAACAAGAGAAAATTTGTATTATCTAGAACTCATCTTGGAATCCAACAGTCCCTTCATAATCAGATGCCACATAAAGTAGATTTTTTTTTATGGCTAATTATATGCGAAGGGTTCAAATATTTCAAGATTCAAAAACCTTTAAAAATTCAAATTCAGATTTGACATTTAAAATTTGATCTGCATCTAATAAGTACCATGTCATTAAATTACGGCACTGCTACAAAAACCTAAAAGCAATGAAAAATAGCGAATACAAGTAAATTTGAAACAAATATGCCATTACTGTAAATTGGGTAACATAAAACTTCCTATCCGCATTATTACAGATTTCTAATACACGCAAATCAATTAAGAAAAGCACTGAAATCAGTTCACATTAGCTTGTAGGAGAGAGTAGTTTTTAAACTTGTGAGATAAGATCAATTCTTAAAAAGTACATAAAAACTCTAAAAACTGAATTCTTACCAAAAACAACCTTTTAATATAAACCTTCAGTATTTTCCAGAGACCTTTCCCAATGTCAATCTTGACAGAAATTAATATTTTACTGTTTCATGTGAATTACTATATAAAGATGAAATAAAATTCATGTAGAGTAACAACGCAGTTAATGTTAAGAAGCACTAAACAAGAAATCTAAATTTTTTAGAGTTCGATGAGATGATATTTGAAGTTGAGAACTGTGACTATATGTCAGAAAAGTCTCTGAATAGAAGTATGTATATTACAAATGTATCTTATAGGCCTTTAAGTAAACTAACCATGATCTTTCACTTACAATTTTTTATTAAGGGAGCTGAATTTCGAAGTGTGAAAAAATATATAAAAGCAAATGCCACAAATTCACAAAGAGAAACAATGAAAGTTTCACAGAATCTAACATTGTTTACTATAAAAATTCAGCTTCACTGCATCAATGCAAATATAGGAAGCAAACAAATTTGGCTCTTAAGGCTGACTACGAGAGAGAGAGTGTTAATAAAACCAGTGTTTAAAAGTTTGAAAGGCTACAATATGAACAAATGAATAAATGCACAAGTGAGTGAGCGACTGCGAGTAAGTGAGTGAGTGAGCGACTGCGAGTGAGTGAGTGAGGGAGTGAGCGAGCAAGCGACTGAGAGAGCGAGCGAGCGACTGAGAGTGAGTGAGCGACTGAGAGAGTGAGCGAGCGACTGAGAGTGAGTGAGCGAGCGACTGAGAGTGAGTGAGCGAGCGACTGAGAGTGAGAGTGAGTGAGTGACTGAGAGTGAGTGAGTGAGTGAGTGAGTGAGTGAGTGAGTGAGTAAGTAAATAAGCGAGCAAGCGGCTGAGCGAGCGTGAGCGAGGGGGAGAGAGCGAGTGTGAGCGAGCGGCTGAGCGAGTGTGAGCGAGCGACTGAGCGAGTGTGAGCGAGCGAGTGAGTGACTTAGTGGATGGGTGAATAAGTAAACGAGTAAGTAATGAGCGAGTTGTTGAACAAGTGAGTGAATGAATGAATGAATAAGAGTCAATGAACGTATAGAATACAAGAATAAATAAACAAATGATGAGTAAATGAGTGGAAAATTAAGAGGAAAGAAGTGAATGAATAGTAATAATACTAATATAAAAATTCACAGACAAATGCATGCAAACATATAACAAAGACACAATCAGATTAGAAAGAAAGGCACCCTTTTACTATACACTACAAGAGTACAGTCTTGCATTAAGGGAAACAAGATAGGTTAACAATATATAATCCATTCATTTAACAATTGGAATAGTGTTAACAAGGGTGTGTCACAAACAGTTAATTGATTGATAACATCATCAATACACAGAATAAAAAATAAAAATACTAGTACAGTGATTTCAAATAGTATTTCTACCATAATAAAGAGTGACTGGATTTTCATGTAGTGACAATTGTTTGCCAACTCCAAATTCATTGAAACCTTGACAGAAATTTGAATCAAGAGATGGATGTAATTTAAATGTATTTTATTTTGCATGACATTTCATGTTTCAAGAGTTAGATCATAAAATTGCACGGTTGGGGGTTTACAGCCAGAAAATTGCATGTTTTGCCTTCTGTTGCATGGTATCTGGCTTTCAAAACCTTTTGACTTTGTAAATAGTGATATTGTCATTCGTTCAAGTTGTACTCGATCAGAAGGGCTGTTAGATAAAAGAATACAGAGAGTAGAATATGAAAACTGCTTGAATTTCAAACTGAATATCTGTGTTAGCTTGAATCCATTTTCTTGGAAGGAAGCAATTTAAGACGAGACTTACTGGTCAATCTGTTTTAAGTGGTCACTCGACCATCTTGAAAAAAATTCATATTTTGTATATAAATTTCCTTATGTTTTAGCTGTTCAAGAACATCTTTAATTCTTTTTTTTTTGTATCTGATTTACAAATGGCGGCCATTTTTGTTTTAAGCCGTATGCCATTTTCGCATTTGTAGACATTTACTCTTTTCTAAATTATTTAGCTCTGGGTTGTTCTAATGTTCTAGAAAAAAAAAAGTAGTACTCTGGCCTACAAAACTTAAATATACGTTATTACAAACATAGATGTCATGTAGTAAATTTGTTTTATAGTATATGTAATATTGAAAATTTTATACATTAGACCACTTTAATGGTTATTAATAAGGGGATTTTTTTGCTTAAGTTTACAGTTTTTAAAAAAATACTTCAAGTTAAATCTAAAAGTTGACATATTTTGAAGTGGTATGTTATTTACCAATGATATTTTACAAAAAGTATCTATACTGTTATGTGTAAAAGCACAGAAATAATTAAGACTGGGATTCTATTCCTTCTTTGAGAAATTACTCTGAAAATCGAATTTTGTTCTTTCGTGTTCCATAGATTTGGTTGCAAATATTTCCCAAATAAAAACCTAGAAGATACGTAAATAATATTTTGATTTGTAGGCTAGAGTATACTAAATCCAATACTTTTTAGTCTAGAATGTTAATACAACCCCGAGTTGAACAATTTAGAAAAGAGTAAATGTCTTCAAATGCGAAAAATGGCACATGGCGTTAAACAAAAATAGCCGCAGTTTGTAAATCGGTTACAATAAAAAAATTAAAAATGTTTTTGAACAGCCAAAACGTAAGGGAATTTATGTTCGAGCAACCAATCTATTCAATTTTGGACCACTTAAAATGGATTGACCCCTACGAAGATAAGGAATTTTGTTTCAAATTGCAGACTTTGTTGGACTAGTTTATTTATTTGAAGGAAGCAATGGACAATATTTCCTCCAACCTTACTTCCCAAAAACATTCCTAAGCCAGATATGCAATTCATTTCCAAATAATCTGACTATTCAGTGCTCACCTATAACTAACTCCTTATGGTGTTACAATATACCCACTCTACACCTCTCTTAACAGACAGTTACTCCTGGTATGTACACCAATAGTTTGACTACTTTAATCGTGCTGAAAGTGAAACATAGTTTGAATCCACAATAACTTTGAAGAAATTTTCCTTAGCTGAAAACTGATGGGAAAGTTGAGGTTCATGTCTCATGCAACAAGAGTATCGGCACAAGCAAAAAATCTTAATTTGATGCCCACACCAACATAATTAAGATAAACGAATTTACTTATTCATTTTCTTCATGGAGAGAAGTTATTTATTTTATATAATTCATAGATAGGTGGATTTCTCTGTACCAAACAAGATATTCTTGATTTGATAGGTAGTCACAAGCAGGCTCTTGTACTGAATTGCATGACACTGATCGAAAGTTAATGGATAGTCCTTTGGGGAACCTGATGAGCGGCAGTGCTATTTTACTTGGAAAAGTTTGCCAAATTTAAAGTATTTATTTAATTCCTTTAACATGTTCCCTTAAAGTATTTATTGAAGGAGATGCTGTATAATTTGTGAAAGTTGAAGGAATTTTAAATGAGAATACTACAAAATCAGATTTGGCTTTTACCAGATCTCCCAACAAACTTTTGTTAAATTATAATGTGGATTTTAATGGGAGAAATGATACTTTAGATATTGCACCTAACATTTTAAGTTCATATAAAAATGTCCCTTACCAAAGGTGGAGAGAAGTTTTTCAGCCTTAATCAAGAATTGGTTGACATAAGACATAATTTTTCAGAAGATAATTTGGAAATGTACGTAATAACAAAAAGTAACTAAATACTTTGTGTACCTTAATTATTTTGTTTTAATTAATAAAAAATTAATTTTGAAAGCAATTTAATTTCAGTTAGTAAATTTCTAGTAAATTGAGTAAAACTATGTAAATTACAATAATAAAAATATCAAACTACAACAAAAAGGTTGTTCATTAAACATTTCATTTCCAAAAGTGAAAACTTTTTTAATAAATGGGGATATTCTGGACACATGACTTTTTTTAGATGTTTTGAGATTTTTATTGCAAGTTTTGACATTTTAACTGCATGTTTCACAATTTTTACTGCACGAAAATCCAGTCTTTAGTAATAGATGTTTATAAGACCATGGAACAGACACCAAAATCTGACACTAATTTATGCCCTGAAACATAAACTGATCCCAAATACACTTCAAGGTGTCAACCATCAAATACTGGTTAATAATTATTCTATATTAGTCATAACAAGTAGAAAAAACACTGTTTCACTACTACGTTCAACTTTAAAACATTTTTTACATGCTTTTGCTTATATTTGGCACAAGCAATTATTGGCACTAACAAAAGTTTTCCCTTTCTGTAAGTGAAATGACCAAAGGATCGCAGAGCTTCTTTTAGAGTATATGGTAAAACTGTCACTCACGATGTAACACTGGGACTGCGCTGATGTAGTCCTGAAGTGTCACTTCCAGCCCCTGGAGGTACTGACTCTACTGACTGAGCTGTGGCTATCACCATTGGGTCATCTACAGGGGTGCGACTGTTGTTCACTGCAGTTGATGTACCCAAAGAATCTCCTGAACCTTGCTTGAGTAAAGTGCTTGAAGCTACAATACAAATTAAATGTTAGTATACATTCAGAAAAAAAAGAAGGAAGTTACTCAATCTAATTAGAGCTTCTATAACCTCAAATACTTTAAAGAAATGTAGTATTTTCATAATGATTCTCTTACACTTTTCTAAAATACACAGGTAACTGCCCAACTACATAAAAATACACCCAATACATAACATGACAATTTTACTTTTTTTTTTTTTAAGAAGAGTTTTACATATTTAAATAACAGAAAATATCCAATAATCTGCTTAACTAATAAAGAGGCAATTAGAAGCAATCCACTTGCTTAAAACAAATTTCCTGGAAAGTGTTTCAAGATTATGAAAATGTTAGTTAATTCATAATTCAATATAATTAATTAATTGTTTTTATTTCATAATTTCAAATTTGTAATATTTTTTCTTTGCAACCTTGCATTGTTTACTTAGAATTTCAATGGTAGCATTATCACAATTATTTTGTTATCCCTTTTTTTCATTTACATTGAAGCTTTTTGTTCTAAAATTCAAGTATTTCAATAGATAGTACAATTTCCTTATACTATATTCTTGCAATAAATTAAAGTAATATAAAATTTAGTCTGACATTTTGTTTGGTGTATTATCAATAAATTTTGTCTTTTAGCATTTTCTTTAGTTCTGTTCTTGAATTCCTAATTTCTTGGATTCTGATTACCATGGTGGAAGGAATGTTTTAGATGTATAAATATGCTGAGAAATGTATTTTCTGATGAATGTAAACATTACTTCATAAAAAGAGTTAATGGAATTTTCAAGTGTATTTACAGCAAAAAAAGAAAATCAGTTGAAGCTAATTCAGTACAGAAACAATGAATATAAAATCTGCCAAATCAAAATTATATCTAATTTCATTAATAACATTTACATCTCTTTTAATTAGAAAATCATATCTACAGCTGGACGATAAGCATCACACGTAACTCGAGAACAATCGGATATGATTTAGTGGAACTCAGTACTAAAGGCATTTACTTTAAAAAATAATCTCCAGCAATTGCCAGGATAATTACGGAAACTGTTCACTGTCACACACACACACACACACACACAATCTGACCATTTCTAGGGCCTTGCCAGAACTACCCTTTCGTTCCAAGACATCCCTTGTTCAGGGCACCACCTATTGGCTACAGCTGTTACTATAATCACTTAACCCTAAATGAATATATCTTAATGCCACTCCTGACTTTCACTTTCTCTCTCATTAAACTGTCATTCACACATTTATGATTCACTAAGGACTTTTAACAAAAATAAAATCCAGTAACATCTCATTTTTGTTTATGTTATTTTCATGAAACAAATTGAAGTAGTTAAAAGAACAGAATGCTATACTACCTGGAATTTATTAATGCATGTCATTTATAATACAAAATTTGCAAGTTTCTCCAAAATAACTATTTTTCCAATTGGTTGAGAGAAATTATAATCTATTAATACAAAATCAGCATTGGAAAACATTCAATATAATATGAAAAAATAAAGTGAAGGAACATATTGAAACAGCATTCCTGTTTAGAAATATAAGTATTACCTTAGTTTTCCTATGCCAATGAGGGTGTAAATTCATTGCTTTCAACAATGAACATTTTGATTGCAACACAGATTATCAGGCATGCTATTAAAGAAATCATTTTGTTTGCAATGTTTCTACTGGAAGGCAAGTTCTTTGACTACAAAACTATTCTGAATTCTATTAGGGTGTAATGGTTTCGAAGAATTGTTTGAAAGAAGACTACTCTATAGACAATAAAATATTTAGAACCAATTTCCATAAACACAATGGTTTCCTTAACAATCTTATAAACTCTAAATTTGTACTGCCAGAAGTTTCCTTATCTGGTTTCCAAATGAAGGATATTTTAATGTCTTTATGAAAAGAAAATTTGAAGGTTACAAGTAAGTCTGTAAAAATCCTTTGTTTACACACTTTTTATAATTAATTATTTTTTTAACCCTCTGCATAAGAATCCCATCCACATGCACTCACATCCATACACGCTAAGTTTCCTGATTTTTCCACTTTTGATTAGAATGAAATCACCTAGCAAATATTGTTGGATAATATTTTTTTGTGTCCTTATAACTAGTTTCACACACACACACACACACACACACACACACACACACACACACACACACACACACACACACACAAACATGCTCAGATGCACACAAACACACATCCCACCTGACTTTGCAGGAGAGTCTGGTGGACGTCGCAAAGATCCAGCACGTGAATGATCTCCTCCAGTACCAGATGATGCAGCATCATCAGCACCCTCTCCTTCACCTTCACCATTAGCTTCATCTTCTGCAGGTGGTGTTGCAGGGACCAAGATCTATCACATAAGAGTGCTTTTAAAAAAAAAAATATTACAATTCACAACAATATTCTATTATGGCCACCTATTGGCATCGAACATGTACAGCAGTAATCCTCCTTTAATCTAGTCAATCATTGTCAGTCATAGTCATTGCCTTTCATCCCTTCAGCCAGGGGTTCAGCACCATTAGATCCTGGAGTTCCCAGATGGACACCCATCCAGGAACTAATGATGTCTCGAATTGCTCAGCCTCCATAATTTCACAGAGTATAGTTAAGCAATTTGGCTAGCAATGCCAGCAAGTTCATTTTATCCTTTATATATTATTACAGGACAACAATAAATTTCAAAAAATGATTTACATACACAACATATCAAATTTATTCTAACTGGAACTCAAACTATTTTTATGATTTATTACTTAAATTATCCATTTCCTTTATAGAGAAAAACCAAGCCTTTTTAATGCTAATGTTTTCATGCATAGGTATGTTTTGAATTACCGGTTTTCCATTTCTCTCCTCTTATAATACTCATCTTAAAAAACATGCAAGTAATTTTCAATAAATACTTTCATTTCTAGAATTATTCCTTTCCTCTTTCTTCCAGAGCAATTCAACTAACTGAACATTGTTTCACAATGTTTTTCAGCCCTTGTGTACACAGAGATACATATCACACACAAATGCACCACAATGAATACTAAAAATTTATGATAAACCCAGAACAAAAATCTTCAAAAAGTTAAGATAAAATACATCTTGTTTCAGATCATGCATTCTTTCTTGTTTCTACTCATATCTTATGATAATTGTGATTAAAAAAAACATAAAGTGCTTTTAAACGGTCATATACTCACTCTTAAAGTCATTGACATGATAAGTTTGGCATCAGCACCCGCTCGGGCCAAAGGAAACGGTTGATTTTCAACATGCAAGTCATCCTTCTCCAGTAAACCAGTTAAATTATAAATAAGTTGACCTAACTCGCTACCAGATTTTTGATTTATAACCTGTAAATGCAATATGGAATTACACATGTAAATTTCCTCTTGCAATCAGATATTGTTTTCATTTCAAATAATAGTTTTTCTTGCATAAACTTTCATTCAGTTTAGTGAAAGTGTTGTAACTGCATGTACTATGTGAATATAAAATGATCTCAAGTTAAATAGGTCAGCATATGAAGCTTTTAAGAATTCACTGACCCACTTCCACAAGAGAACAAGAACATGCACCATAAAATAAAATTATTGTATACTCACTCTAATATCAAGGGTATCTGATTCAGGATTGCCCACAAGAAAAGTAAAGCCTTGTTCAAATACTGGACAACGAGTACTCTCTTTCCAGGGGGTCTGCTGTTGTTTATGACCAAGAGACAGCTGAACATAGGGATTGATCTTGCTAGATGATTGACTGCCCTGAAATAAGACAATAACAGCAACATAAAATATTAGAACACATGCATACCTGCACAAACATCCCAAAACAAAGAATTACTTTTCATACATACTGGAAGGTCCTTTGCTGAATCAATGTAAACCATGAGAACAGCTGTACTCAATGAAGTCATCCGTAAATGTTGTGTTTCTTTAAGAGCCTGGATTGTAACACAAAAAATTCCTCTCATAAAATATCATATATAATATTGGGTCTTAAGTTTTATCAATACAATAGTAGATAAAAGAAACACAATAAGCATCAATACTTTGTAAGACAAAGAAGGGAGTATCGAATAGCTGGAAAGTCAAGAAGCAATTACAAGAATTATGAGAAGTTATTTTTATCACTGGTAACATCAAATTTCTCTTGTACTTAAAATTAGCCACACTGAACTTAAAAGAAATTTAAAAACAATATTTATATGAATTTAAAAATGGTTCGTTATTACAGGAGCATAGGTGCAAACAATAATGATATAAATGATTTGAAGCCTTTTTCAACATTTTCTTCTACACCTGCATATAAAATTCAAATTATATATTTTTAATTCCTTTTTAAGTTCATTTCAGGCATTGTTTTGCCTTCTTTTTCATCAGGCTACTCAGACACACAAAGAGATTTTGTGAAAAGGGGAATTCTTGATTAATTACATTTTTGGCTTTTTTATTGTAGACATCTTATTTGAATGACTATAAAACAATGAAATTTTGTAGCCCTCTTGTTACAAGTTGGAATTTTGATCTCAGTGTATTTCCCAATGATCTCTCACAGCAATATGTGTTTGAATAGTCAATGATGTAACAGTAATTGAAAAATTTAATTATATTTTTCTCAATTGTTTGTTGTTTAATAAAAGTGAGTACAGCACTTCTTTCAGCTTTGGCAGTATAATGGTTAGCGAATCAGGCTGTAATACCCAAGGTTGTGGGTTCAAACCCAATCGAAACCGTCAATTTTTAAGGGCAAAAAAATCTGTTGTATGCCTTCCCTTGGAGGGGAAGTAAAGTTGGCTGTTCCATGTTGTATATTTACTGCATGTAAAAGATCCTCAAGCCTAAAAGAAGCCTCTGAGCTAAATTTAAATTGCCTGTTTCATTGCCCGAGTGATGCCTTCTTTCTCTGCTAGAGATGGTGAAAGGAATGTAGAGACATTCGCATGGTCAGATGGAAGAGTAGGCTTGATGGCCTGAATCTCACCATGCAAAATTAGGCATAATTGAATTGAATTGCTTCCAGAATCAAATTCATTTCTACTATCTTCCAAGATTTAATTCCCATTTCTTTAAGATCAGTTCAACTAAATCTAGCCTTTTTCTTTTCTTTTCATCCATAAACATTCTCCAGTTTAAATTTGCCTTGTAAGTACGTATGATGAATCTCAACTGACCTTATCAAAAAGACCCCTAATTAAAGATCAACTTTTGAAATTCCTCCAAATCAATGTGAAATTTATCTTTAATCTTGTTTCGATTTTGACAAAATCTGGTTGATTACCAAATGATCAATGACTTTCCAATTATGTGCCTTCTTCACAACGGATTTGATCATGCTTATCTATACGCTCTTCACAGCTTTTCAGATTGTCGTTTTAATTTGTTAATAATGTTGTTTACATTATTTCTATTGTCCAAAACATAAACAATCATTCACTCTCTATCTCTCTCAATCTCTTGCTTTCTAAGGTGTCCTGGACTGTCTGGTTGCATTTCACCTATTTCTTAGTCCTTTCTTTTCTTAGCCAGTCTTCCATTGAAATTTCTCATTTGCTTTGAGTTTTCTTTCACGATTTCATTGGTTATTTAATTTTTGTGTATTAAGCTCCTTGATGCATTTATCTGGCAACGTTCAGATAGATGATAGGAGTTGAATAAAGTAAGCTTATTTTCAATTATATTTTATTCACTTTATATATTATCATCACTCTTAAAAAATAATATAAACGATACTATAGAAATGTACGAAAAAGAATCAATACCCAAAGTTATTGACTCAACATCCATTCACATGTTAATTTTCAATTCCACCTTTCTCATCTATTCATTCATTTCCCTACAGCTTGAAAGAAGAATATCTAATGTCCAAAACAAGAGTTTTGTTATTGTTTGATTTGTAATATCATTTTCTGTTAAATAAATTATCTATAATCTATTTTACTCCAAATATCTGCAAAAATTTGGAGTCGAGAGTATATAATAGAAAGAAAATTTTGCACATTGGATCTTTTATTTTTAGAGTAAGTCATCAAACCAAATACTTACAGCTAAGAGAGCAGAGGTATCTGCTGTCAATGTAAGCCACGTGAATCGCACATGAACAGTACCATGCTTGGCACCATCCAAATTCAGCCACTAGTTAGAAACAGAATTTGAGTAAATCACAATGACATTAATAAAACAACTTCCTGCAAATTATCTACAAAATTTAATAATAATAATAACAACAATAATAACAGCTACAAAAACAATATTTTAAAACATCTTACCAAATCAGCTTCTCCCTTTGCAGCAATTGTACTCACTTCCACAGTAGCTCTGTAATCATGGAAGTAAATTGAGTGAAAAAAAGGAATATGAAATATTTGTAATTAATTTCCTGAACAGCCACCATTATGCAACACAAACACAAGCACAAAAATGCATCACCAAATCAAGCAAATGCTACTGCAAACATACTCATTACAACCACTGAGATCAGGTAGATACATGATACAAGAAAGCCAAAGATTGTGACCTTTTGCTATTACATGCTATTAAACATAAATTTGTAATTATAAGAAAGTTAAAGGAACACGAACCCACACCAAATGCTGAAATTTTCAAACACCTTAGCATTGTTTTGTGTTAGTAATCTTTACAAATGCAGTCTCCAATAATGCAATATTCCCTACACCTCAAGCAAGTTTTTTCTATTTCAGTATATCCCAAGATAAGTATTTCATCTAGTGAATACATGATGTGCTGATGACTAAATATAGTATATACGAGAGCAAATGCAAGAAAATATTTGGTAAGGAAGCTTCAGAAATCCAAATCAAAAGTTTTTAATGCAAATACTAACAAGCAACTAATGATGTTTAAATTGAAAAATATAAAATACCTTGTATTCCTAAAATAAAAAATTTAAAAAAATATAAAAAGATGGCTAACAATTAATTCATAGATATTCCTCTAGAAGAAAACAAGAAAGAATAATTCTATGGTGTATTGTTAACTGTTATAGTAAGCCATACAAGCATAACAAAATTGCACATAATGAACATAATTAAATATACATGAAATTTCAGTTAATAAAGCCAACATTCCCTAACAAATACATTTTTGATGCTGGTTCAAGATCTGCTATGAATTGATACAATTACTTTAAAGAATATGTTCCAAACCTTTCTTGATTTAACTTTATTGAGTGCTGATCTTTTGTTAACTTGGTATTTTCCTTCAGAGAGTTATAGGAGAGATTTTAATCCCCATTGCAGTTATCATGAAATTTCATTATCCTAATATGGCAAATATTCAGTGTCCAAATATTTTATATTCTTTAGAAGACTGGCCATTCAACCACCAAAGAAAGCTTCTTGTCTTATTCATTTTTCAACACTGATATTTTTGTATTTTAGTAGACAAACTACCAATATCACAATGAATGCATACAGTGAAAGGGCTAACAAATCCAATGTTAAAAATATAAAGATGAAAATGTCTTAAAAACAAAATATTATTTGGCTTTTCTTCTCAAAAATTGTCATAGTAGTTTTCAATAGTAAACAAATATTGCTGAACTAACCTTCTTTTATAAGATTAATTTATCATTTTCACCACAAATGAGCATTAAATAAACAGTGTTAATTATGGAGGACTACTATGACTGACTGATAAACAACTCACAAAACATACAAATAATTTAGTACAACATATCGTTAGTTGAAAATCTATCTAGTAATGGAAATAAAGGGATCCTTCAAACAATCTAGAAATTAAATATGATGCTCTTATGAGTGAAAAATTGTAATGTTCAATTTTGAAGAAATTGAATAGATAAGTCATCATTTTCCACACCTAAAGTTAACTACTCTGTACTAAATAAAATCTATACGATCAGTTTTCCATTGTTTCTTCACAGACCATGTTCACACCATTTTCATACCTCTTCTTATTTCAAGAAAGCAATGATAAAATTAATTTATTCATAAAACTTGTAGGCATCTGTAGTAATCAAATGACACTGCACAATTAAAAACCCTTTACATTGGTGCATATTTAAATAAAGGTTTGAAAGAAGCACTTGCAAAACGATTTACATTAAATTACAATGCTTCTGAAATTATTATGCAGCAAAGTGGCTTTGAGCTACTATGTTAGAATAATATTCTAATATCTGCACAGTACCAAATGATCCACATGTTTTAATACATTTATCGTGTCCTTATATCTGGATCACTTTTACTGAAAATAAAATCATATGCGTCTGCTAAATTTGAATGCTCATTAATTCAAATCTTCATAAATTCTTCACCGTCTCTCCAAGGTTAAGTTATAGCAATCTAGCAATATTATTATTTATTTCTCACCCATACCATGCCAATAAGGTTGCTCAAAACTGTCAACTCGCATGTGAAAAGCACAATACAAGAAGTACTTTATTTGCAGATATGAGCAAGTGTTACATCTTACCTTCAACATTTTTGCAGTAACACCAGAGATCTATGAGTATATATGAGAAAATGCCATGAAATAAATACATGTTCCAATATAATTCATGTCCAAGCCAATGTATACTGACATAAAGCGATTCAAAATTCAAACTTTGCCTTTCCATAAGAAGCAAAATCGTATGGTAATGCAGCTGAGTACATAATTCATCACAATATTCTTTATAAAAGCATGTTCACCGATATGCTGGAAAAATATGCTAATAAACAGAAACAAAAAACACACAAAAATAATAATCTAGCAGAACAATATTCAAGAATTTTCAACATGGAGACTTGCTTGCTTTCCTTGAACTCTGCACTTTGGAGAATTCATAAGGAAATTCATACTTCAGAGCTGCAAAGCTTTTTGCATAAAAATCATTCCACATTAACAAAGCCATTTATCTGAGCAAAAAATAAACTATCATCATATAAGCAAAGCACAAACACCACAATTTGATCAAAAGAGTGAATTAAACTCTGTATCATAAAAAAAATTGTAGAGCTCCATAATACTAAATATTATAGCCACACTGGGCATGTGAAAGAAATTTTGCAAAGAAGTTGAAATAATATCAAGAATATTGAGAAAATGGCATATTTATGACATGGGGAAGCCACCTTTGTTCACAGTTATAGAATGTTGGCAATTTTCATTTATGCAATAAACATATGCATTCAGCCCATAAATGTTAATATGTAAAAGGTAAAATGACAGAAGCAAGAGAAATACAGCAATGACACTAACTATTTCACTACAAACTTTGGAAATATGCCTCACAATAAACAATGAAGACTATGAAAAAATAGAAGATTAAATGAAGCAACATTTGATCAATATGAATACAAAGATGAAACATTTTTTAAAATGGTGAACGTGTTAGTAGAACAAAAGAATGAAGAACAAGGAAATGAATAAACTAATGAAAAATATGTTTCATAAAATCTATCATATTAAGATAAAAACACTGAAAAATTGACTTGGCCACAAATGAAGTGCACATACAAATAAAGAGTCATGAAGATCTACAATCAAAAGTTAAAAACGGAGAAGTGTGGAAAAGGGAGAAAAAATGTAATGGACAAAGTGAAAACACAGTAAAAGCAATATGAAACAGCGGTCATACTTGAGGTAGTTATGTACACCCACACAGACACACCCAGGCTGAGAGAGGAAAGAGAGAGAGAGGAGAGAGGAAAGAGAGAGAGGAGAGAGGAAAGAGAGAGAGGAGAGAGGAAAGAGGGAGAGGAGAGAGAGGAGAGAGGAAAGAGAGAGAGGAGAGAGGAAAGAGAGAGAGGAGAGAGGAAAGAGAGAG